GTAACAGATAATCTTTGTTTTATCGAATTTCGGACGCTGTTTTCTATTTTCCCGATCACCTTTTTTGTACTAGTTACTGAAACGAGAACTTCCTCAGCCTCGTCCGATGCTGTAAGGCTCGTATCTTCATCTATTAAACGCGAGGTTAGATTTGATAACCAAGCTTAACCGAAGCTCCTAAATTTAGCCGGCAGACTACCGAGAATCTTAATCATAATCGCTGTATCGCTAATCGTTTCGCCGGAATCTTTTATTTATTGCTTGAGATTCTCAATTTTCGCGATATGTTACGCGATCGAATCATTCGGATCCATTTTATATTGCGAAAATCTTTCGTGCGCTAACATCTTGTTAATTTCTGTCTTTTGCTCATAAACTGTATCTAGTTTTTCTAATATCTTCTTCGATGATTGGCAGTTCTCGATGAGCGTAATCTGAGAGAAATCCATCGCAGATGTTACCAGGAACATAATACACGCGTTCTCCTTTAACCATTTCTTACGCGCTGCTGTCTGGATTGATATTGATGTTTCCATCGTCCCCATCACTTCCGGTTTTACGTCGATGCCCCTTGCAATGTTATGGAAACCTTTAGCTCGTAAGACACAATTGATTTGGAACTTTCATTGATGATAATTTTTACCATCAAATTTACTGATCACCGCTGTGTCAATTTTATTGTCCGACATTTCGATTAACAGTATATACTCAGTCTATTCGACGCGAAAACTTGATGCGCTCGTACTTTTATGACAGAATTGCGCGTTTTTGGTACTTCACGTACACGTTACACTTTTCCAGTGTACACAGAGAATATGTAGGCCTATAAACTCTTTAATAAAAATCGGCACGGCTATTAATGATCAGTATTTATTAACCACAAAAGAAAACTTAATCAGCTACGTATAAAAAGCACATGATTACATGCTCGCCTCGATAAAGAAGAAGCAGGAGAGAGGAAAAACAAAAAAGTGTTGCTTCAATTCGCAACCTGGTACAAGACAAAAGCGCGAGATTCAAACTTACTCTAACAGTTACTAGTACGAGTGAGATACCCCGGTGTCTTTCGCTCGCCAATATTCATAATATTTTTATTATGCACAAAATGTTGTAATTATGCATAAAAATTTTTAATACTATATTACTAATAAAAAATTTTTGTGCATAATTACAACATTACATGTAATTTTGAGACTTATTGTAATAACTTTGCGTGCATTTATAAATTTGCAGAGTGCAAATAAAATTCATATTTTGTATCACAAGATTGTAAAATTAAATTTAATAACAGTAATTATATTAGGACTCTCGAATTTTAAAACGATAAAAAAGAACTGTAATAGGCTAATGAGAGTCAGCATCGATAAATAGTGCAATTATTTAGTGAACATTATTAAAATTATAAAATAAAAAATTAAATAATAAAAAAAGAAAAAAGGAAGAAAGAAAAAATTTAATATAAAACATATTTCGTTAAAGTTGTTACATTTTCATCAATCTAATAAAAACTTTTGTCAAAATAAATTAATAACTAAAATCTTAAAAGGTTGCTAAATAAGTCAACAGAAATTTTCAAGCATCGCTGCATAGGAATGATGCAATCTTTCTGTATCTGAACGTAAATTAAGGTCATTCTTTTACATGTGTATAAATGCTATTTCTGAAATAAATCTTTTGTTTAAAAATTTCTCCTTGTCTAAAATTTGGACGTCCTTCCAATCAAAGTCATGTGAAAATTCAACGATGTTCAGTAATTGCAGAGTGAGTCAGTGTTTCAATTTATATGTCAACGATGTTCAGATATTCTGCTGGAAAATTTCCTGTATGTTTGTCCAACATAAGATGCATCACAATTTTTACAACAAATCTTATAGACATTTTTATTAAATTTTCGGAGAGCGTCCTTTTATGAATCTATCTATTTAATTTGTTATCGCTGAAAAAAGCTAATTTTATGTTTGTGTCTTTACAAATCGACGAAAATTTCTCTGAAGAATCAATACGTGGTAACAAAAACCAAGATATACGATCACTAATTGTATCGTCATTTGAGACATTAGTACTAAAAAATGTTTTGTTATATCAATATTTTAGATGACTATATTGATCGTGTCAAAAATAAATTCTGCCGGATAGTCATTATTTAGTAATGTACAAATAATGAAGTTAATGTTGTCACAGTGAAATTTTGGATCTGAGAGTAACATAGCTCTGTCCAACATGCCCATTATGATACCTTTTTTATGGGAAATAGGATGTGACGATAAATAGTTCAAGTACCGTCCTGAAAATGTTGGTTTGTGACCAATCTAACTCTAAACAGTTGTTGTTGTTAATAATGGTTACATCTAAGAAATTAATACTATTGCTTCCCACTTTCAAGGTGAATTGCAATCTCGGATGAAATAAATTAAAAGTTTTCAAAATAAAATCAATCATATCAGACGGGATAGCCATCACAATATTATCAATATATTATATCTAAAGTAAAATTAAATAATTGAAAACCTAACATTGCTATTGCTTTAGTCTCAAAATCTTGTATGACTAGATCTGCTATAATAGGAAATAAGGGCGATCCCATTGGTGTGTCACAGTTTTGTTTGTACATCTCCCCATTAAAAGTGAAATACGTCGAGTTAAGTACTAATTCAAGTGCTGTAAAAAATTCCTTTTCTGGAATAGTCGTTGATTTTTTTATATAATTCCATCTATTAGTCACACTCTTAATCGCTAAATCTAATAGAATGTTAGTGAACAAAGAGATGACATTAAGAGAAATTAAAAAAAAATTATTTTCCAACCGCCTATTTCCTAACTTCAGTGCAAGATAAAAATTTTTCAATTTTACTGGAGGATTTAGGAGATTTTTCAGAAATAATAACGTGTAGAAATGAAACCAATGAATATAAAGGACTGTCAATTGAAGAAATGATGATCCTAAATGGACAGTTAGATTTATGCACTTTTGGAAGTGTATAAGCACGAGATAAGTTATCTTCATTACATGATATTTTTTTATACGTATTGTTTGAAATGCAATTTTTATTTTTATTTTTTTAAAAGTGATAATAGTTCATGAACTTTTTTTGTGAGAATATTAATAGCATTTTTTATGACTTCGGTATAGCTGTCAGGATCATCAAGCATTTCTTTGACTTTTGAAACGTAAGTATTTTTGTTTAAAGCCACAGTGATATTTCCCTTGTTTGCCTTAGTGAAGATGTGTCTGGATTATTTAGTGCAAAATTGTTTTGCGTATCGTACTAGTTGAATTAATCGTTTACTGATTATGTTATTTTGAACCGAGGACGATAAATAATTTTTCAATACAGGTATGGTACAATTCCTGATACTAAAAATATTACTAAGTTTAATTTTCTTAAAATTATTTTCAATATTTTTGATAAATTCCAATAATATTTATTCGTTTTTTATTAAATGAAGGTAACGCGAAGTTCTCACCTAATTGTAACAAATATTGAACTTTTTCAGAAATTGTAAAGCCAGACAAATTTGTGAACCAATCTTCTTTGATATTAAATAATGAAGACATTGATGATGTTTCAATAAATTCAATAGACTCTATTTTAATGTCAAAATAATTATTGGAATGACAAGAATTACCCCCGTGAACAGACAATTGATATTGAGCATCTTGGAAATCCAAGGTAACAGTACAAATTTGATACGGCTGATTATTCGATACATGATAATGATCGAAAGGATCCAAAGGATTGGAGATATATCATTATAAATTCTTTTTTTATTTTTATGCAATATTCATTTTATTTTTCTCGAGAAAATGATTTTGTCTTTCCTCATATGAGATTGAAAGGTATTTTCTTGTTTTGCAAAAAAAGAATTACAAATAGATGTAGGAACATGTTGAATTGGCTTCTCCTGAGATTTGTTTATATGAGTTATCATTAGATCTATAAGCATCATTCATTCCTCTATTTTAAAAATTCTTAGCATATATTCTTAAAATAGTTCATTCTGTGTATGGAACGGAAATGTGAGAATTTTAGTTTATCATCCATATGACTTATTTAGCAACCTTTTAAGATTTTTAGTTATTAATTTATCTTGACAAAAGTTTTTATTAGATTGATGAAAATGTAACAACTTTAACGAAATACGTTTTATATTAAATTTTTTCTTTCTTCCTTTTTTCTTTTTTTATTATTTAATTTTTTATTTTATAATTTTAATAATGTTAATAGGTTTCAATTTTTATACAATAATTTATTACGATTTTTATTGGTTTTGACTTAACAACAATGTAAATATACATATGTTACGTCCAGCGGACTCCCACGACTTTTCTTTCGTGGAGATCTGAAATTCATTGAAATAAAAAAACAGCTGTGACTAACGCAAAGGGTGAGCGTTATAGCTTAGAGAAGACTAAAAAATTTTCTTTTCTTACACTAAAAACTAAAACGGAGAATCCAGTATCTCGTCGTAAATGTTGCTCCGAAATAAACTAAAAATCGATACACGTGCACGAGCGGCGGGACCAAAAGGATACCAGTCTGCGCCCCTAGGACACACAGCGACTAAAATAATAATAAATAATATGTATTCATTGGAAGCGTAAGACCAGCGCCAAAATACTTTTTAACGGTCAAGTCGCGGACGAATCTATGATTATAAAATTTAAGAAACGACATGCGACGTTCAGGGGTAGATTCTAGGTGGTCTTGTGGCGACGATGCACGCTTTCTTGACGCACTGCATGTGCATTTCCCATAAATTTTAAAATCGTAAAATTTAGGAGAACACTTTTCCATACTATAGACTCCGGTTAACATCCTTTCCTCCCCCAAGATCTTAATCAATCCGAGAACAAAGAAAAATCCTACTACTAGTTAACGAAACCTATTCCACCAATCCGAATCGGAGGCGATTAGTATAAAAACCGTGGTTCTGCGGCCCTCAGAGTGATTTTTTTCTGAGTTTTGAGATGCTATAGTTGTCGGGACCTTTGAAAAAAGTTACATCCGATTCTCGAAGCCCTTTTTCTCCAGTAGAGTCAGTGCTAAAGAAACATCATCAACCTTGCACATCCTGGCCGGAGGACCTCCAACGATGAGCATCTCAGTAGTAAGTCGATATATCACTATTCTCTGGCCTCCTTCTCGCTTTTTTTTCGGTAATTTATTTCAATATTTCATTTTGTCTCTTTTTATTATTCATTTGTTTTTATTTTATTTTTATTTTCTTTCTTTCTTTCTCTCTTTTTAGCCTCCCATGTACAAGAAAATAAAAATATTACAGTCCGTTCACGTTGTAATTTCAATCTGTCGCCGTCGCCTCACGATAATTGTTCGTCCCCTGTCGACCGGTCATTCATATCCGCCCCGTTAATACTATCATCATCCGAGGAAAATCAGGTCAAACCTCTTAGATCCACTCACTAAAATCTCCTACTCTTTTTATACCCTCGCTATTCTCTCCGTAACTTCTCCCTTCTGTCACACGATACTTTCCACACACTCTCACACATTAATGCGTATGACCAAATATTTCAGAATAGAGAACCAAAAATTGTATTTTTATGCTTAAGAAAATGTATCATTAAATTGCTTTTATTATAGTATTATATAAAATTACCCCTCGTTTGTCAATTTAATAAAACCTCTCCTTGTATTTATTAGCTCTCCCGCGGTTGCACTTCGCTCTCTCCCCGGTCACTTGGATTAAGTTCCATGACCGAAAGCCAGGGCATACGGACGTACTGGCACATCTAGCGTTAAAGTGCGCCCTCTAGGCACACTGATCCAGTTTGGGCTCTTTAAATTAAAAGTACGTTCGACTCGTGTGTCCGTTTAGCGGAGCACAAGTTGAGGTTTCTACTTCGTCCTCCCCGGCTCGTTAGAAGCCTCAGGAAACAAAGTGCCTCCCGATTTGCACCAGTTTTTCCCCATTGCTCCCTTGTGGTCCAGAGCATATGACCAAATCGGTCTAATAATTCGGTTCCTGTTGCGTTCACCTCCTCAGCTCCATGCGGAGCTTGGACATAACACATGTGTTGTGTTCTTTATAATTGCAAATTTGCCTTAATATTTACTTGTGACCTTTTATTCGAGAATAGTTCATATCTGTGTGACACGTCATTGTATACGGACGTGTGTTCTAAAAATGTGTGTCTTTCTCTTTGAATCTCTGTGAATCTTTATCTTTGATTTTAACAATTCTACTTTTTAAGTTTTAATATGTCCAACAAAGCTTCAGTGCATTCTTCATGATGGTAAGTAATTTAAATTGTTTACGCATATATCACTCTAATAAGATTTATTTTTTTTTTAATGTCAGATTAACAACGCTGCATCTTTGTCAATTTGCGAGTGACTTAAACATTATGGACATGTGAGCTAACATAACTATTCTTGTATTAGTCTTGCTGAGGAGGACTCCAAAGAGAATCGAAACGTTCAGAATAAAGAAGACATTCAATCCAATTTCTGATTATGGATTGTTCACTAAATAATTACACCGTTTATCGATGCTGACTCTCATTAGTCTATTACAGTTCTTTTTTGTTATTGTATTAAATTTAGTTAAATATAAGAAACATATAATAAAATAAATTTAAAAAATATTATATAATGTAATGCCACGCGCCAGGGGACATCATTTCTGCCAGGTGTACAAGTATGAAATGCGGATTTGAGAAAACAGATGGCGCATCAATGCAGTATGTGGTATAAAGATTTGACTGTTATGCCATTTTGCAGTGCCATCAACCAAAGACGTGTCAGACGCGCACGAGTGATAAATTGAAAAAGTGTTTGCATAGTGTTGTGTTGCTGTGTTCGATATGTCGAAATTTATACCAAACAAAGAGCATTCGCGGACAGCGAATTTATTAATTTTTTGTTTTCATTTGAAGAAAATTGCTGCTGAATCATACCGATTACTTCGAGAAGCTTATGGTGAACATGCTCCATCGCAAGATACGTGTGAACGATGGTTTCGGCGTTTTAAAAGTGATGCTTCGATGTTGCAGACAAGGAACACGGAAAACCGCCAAAAAGGTACGAAGATGTGGAATTGCACGCATTATTGGACGAAGATGACAAACACAAAACAACTCGCAGAGCAATTGAGCGTTAGTCAACAAGCTGTTTCCAATACCGCCTACGAGAGATGGGAAAGATTCAGAAGACCGGAAGATGGGTACCGCATGAGTTGGACGGCAGGCAGATGGAGAGGCGCAAAAACACATGTGAAACTTTGCTTGCACGATACAAAAGGAAGTCGTTTTTGCATCGTATCGTTAATGGGGATGAAAAGTGGATTTATTTTGAGAATCCCAAGCTCAAAAAATCATAGGTAGACCCAGGCGCACGATCCATATCGACCGCAAGACTGAATCGCTTTGGCAGAAAGACGATGCTCTGTGTTTGGTGAGACAGAAGGGTGTGGTCTATTATGAGCTGTTAAAACCTGGTGAAACGGTTAATGCTGGACGCTACCAACAACAATTGATCGATTTGAACCATTCGCTGCTTGAAAAAAGATCAGAATACCAAAAGAGACAATTCAAAGTCATTTTTCTTCATGACAATGCTCCATCACATACGGCAAAACCGGTTCGCGACACGTTGGAAGCACTCAGCTGGGAAGTTCTACCCCATGCGGCTTACTCACCAGACTTGGCTCCTTCCGATTACCACTTGTTTGCATCGATGGGTCACGCACTTGCTGAGCAGCGCTTTGGTTCGTACGAAGATGTGAAAAAATGGCTCGATGAATGGTTCGCGGCAAAGGGGGAAGATTTTTACTGGCGTGGTATCCACAAATTGCCCGAAAGATGGGAAAAATGTGTAACTACCAATGGAGCATACTTTGAATAAAGCTCTTTTTATCATTTTTCCGAATTTAACGTTTTTTTTTTTTAGAAAAAAATCCGCATTTCATACTTGTACACCTGGTACACTCACCAACTAAAAGGTTAGAACATTCTTTTTTTAATGGGATAGTTTCGGAATGCAGTCTGCTCACCGAACGATTGGATCTTACTTATAGATCCATAAGTAAAAAATCGCTCGGTAAATAGGCTGCATTCTGAAAACTATAGAAAAAAAATCTGTTGCAACCTTTTAGTCTGAGTGTACATGCATCACTGAGCTATATATACACTGGAATGGGCATCTCCGCTGTGAACCATAGAAAATCGCCAATTGATCAGCGCCATTTTAATTTGATCAATATAAGAGGGAATCAAAAGCAGGCGCTCATGTGTACTTACGTTTAGTGTTCTTTAATGAGACGCATATGTCAGCGAGATCATCGTGTGTGTGGAGTCATATTTGAAAGATTACTTTGAAAGATTATAAAATCGCGTGATTGTAAAATGTACAAAGCACCAACATGAAATGCTGTATGCCTGAGTGTGAGCAGAGAAGTAAAAAGGGCATTTTATTTTATAAATAAGAATTTTTGTATTATATTATATATATCAATTCCTGCACATGTGTTAACGATGTAAAATATGAAAAGTGTTATTAATATTATTTTATTAAATGTAAAACTAATAAAATTGAAGTAATATTATTTTTGTTTTACATACCATTTATGTCCATATAGATTTCCAAACATTGGTAATACACGATATATCGATCGCAGCGCGCGCGTGCGAACGTTTCTGATTCATTCATATTGTCCCAATTAAAATGGTGACAGATCAATTGTAGCCTCAAATTTTCCTCGATGCCCATACCAGTGTATATATAGTTCAGTGACGTGCACACGTACACATGCAGGCATCGGTGGAATCTGCAAAAGAAATAAATTTGCGCAACAAAAAACGATGGAATCGGTGGAATGAAGCCATGACCAATCAACGAATGGAACGAGCGTTCCATCAATTCCGCATTGCGCATACGTTCTGCACCCGCCTCATTAGGGGTCCCATGGTGCAGAATTGGCGCTCGTAGTTGGTTTAACCTATTTTATGTTTGTTCCGCCGATTTTTATCCGCAAGTTTTTATTTTATGCGCATACAATGTATGGAACAGTACAGAATGTAAGATACAGAAGAAGACAAAAATGTCGAATGTTCATCCAAAAACCGTAAGAATATTATTAAAGCTATATATTAAAATTTTTAATACTCAAATTTATATTAATGCAATGTTATATATCGAAAAAATAATAAACCAAATGCCAATTTGAGCCAACACTGGTTCTTAGTGTGTATTTTTATACTATTTATTCAAAGTGAATATTAAACTTATACGTTTCGACCTAGGATCAAGGTCCTCTCTTCAGTACAAAAAAAATATATTAACAAAATTACATAATGATAGCGCATACGAGTATAAACTAATAACATATAAAATACGAGCAAAATGGTCGGTGATGATGTGCGAGTTAAATTCATGATGCGGTCATTAAATTACTAAGTTAACTAAACAATATGATTGGAAACAAGACCGTCTATATGAATATTAAGACTTTAAATACAAAGCGCCTTTTCGGTCGAGTGTTAAGATGTTGAACTACTATCTAATATACATTCAATTAAATTGAATTAATATTTCAGAAATAAATTGAGAGCCGATGGATTTATCGGATTCACACAATCAATCTGAAACAAATAATC